GCTTCCCATTCAGCACAGGGATGACCTTGCCTACCTTGATGGTGCCAGTAGAAGCAGGAATGATATTCTGGGCTGCCCCTCAGCCATCACACCACAGCTTCCCAGAAGGGCTGTCCACAGTCTTTGGTTGGCAATGATGGCATGCACTGTGGTCATGAGTCCCTCCGTGACGCCAGAGTTGTCATGGGTGACCTTAGCCAGAGGGGCCAGCAGTTGGTGGTGCAGGAGGCATTGCTGACAATCTTGAGGAGGTTGTCGTACTTCTCATGGTTCATGCCCGTCAGAAACATGAGGCATCAGCAGAAAGGGGCAGAGATGGTGACCCTTTTGGCCCCACCCTTCAAGTGAGCTCTGGCCTTCTCAGTGGTAGCAAAGAGCCCAGTGGACTGGATTCTACAGCATACTCAACACCAACATCACCCCATTTGATGTTGGAGGGATCTTGTTCTTGGAAGATGGAGATGTACTTCCCATTCACGACAAGTTTCTTATTCTGAGCCTTGAGTGTGTTGTTGAATTTGCTGTGGGCGGAATCCTACTGGAACATGGAGACCACGTAGTTGAGACCTATGAAGGTGTCACTGATGGCAACAGTATATCCACTTCGCCAGCGTTGAAAGCAGCCCTGGTGACCAGGCGCCAGTATGACCAATTTTGCCGTTTACTCTGACCTTCACCATTGTGTCTTGGGGATGTGGGTGGCACTACACCAGAATATTCTGATGACTGTTGAATGGGTTAGGAGCAGAGAGCTACTTTTGCTTATTTTAAAATTGGGGTTTTTGTTTCTTATTGTTGAATTTTGAGAGTTCCTTGTATATTTTAGGTACAAGTGCTTTGTCGTAGATGTGATTTCTGGGTATTTTTTCCCAGTCTGTGGCTTAACTTTTCTCAGGTTTGAAATTTTGATAACATTGAATTTAACAGTCTTTTTCTTTTATAAATTGTTTATGGGGCAGGATCTAAGAAATCTTTTCGAACACAAAGATTTCCACCTGAATTATCTTCTAAATATCATTCACTTTGATCAATTTTTTGTACAGTCATGCCAGTTCTAAAGTACAAAGATCATATAAAATGGATACATTGCCAGATACCAGTTTTCTCCATAGCATAAGTACCTTTTGAAAAGAAATTATATTCCCATTTCCTGTTAAAATATCACCTATACTTTGAAGGGACAGATTTTTGTGGGTTTATTCTTTGGAAAATATTGCAGAGTAAGAGTGCCATAGTATTGTCAGCTACTTTTTACAGCAAAGGTCAGGGAGTTTGGAATGTTCATCTTTTTACAGAAGAAAAATGTAAGACTTTTTTACATTTTTAAGTACTTTGATGTAAGTGAACCTCTTCGTGGTGTGCTATTCTATACAAAAAATTGCAGGGATCCTACTGTTTAAATATCCTGTTTTTTAAGATTTTATTTACTTATTTTAGAGAGAGAGATAATGAGCAGGGGGAAAAGGAAGAGGGAGAGGGAGAATCTTCAGACAGACTCCCTGCTGAGCACAGGGGCTTTTAGGGGGCTCAATCTCAGGACTGGAGCCGAAACGCACAGCTGACTGAGCCACCCAGGAGCCCCAAGTATCCCGTTTTTGTCTGTTGGTTTTTTGTTTGTTTGTTTGTTTTTGTTTTTTTTTAAGATTAGTCTCATTACTGACATCCTTTTGCACAAAAAACAGTAGTATTCACAATATGCTGAAAGCAAAGACTGAAGGGTACCATTGTCATGCCACACACACATACAGTGAGAGCCCCACACTTCCTTCTAGACACCTGTGCACATGTGGCAGTAGCCCAGGGAAAATCCCAGTGGCAAAGCTCTATGACTGTTTAGTGAAACTTTTTTTTTTTTTGAAGATTTTATTTATTTATTTATTTATTTGACAGAGAGAGGCATGGTGAGAAAAGGAGGAACACAAGTAGGGTGGGTGGGAGAGGGAGACACAGGCTTCCCACTGAGCAGGGAGCCAGATGCATGGCTGGATCTCAAGACCCTGGGATCATGACCTGAGCCAAAGGCAGATACTTAAGGGCTGAGCCACCCAGGCGCCCCTGAAACTTTTTTTTTTTTTGAGATAAAAATATAAAAACATAAAAGTAGATTAAAATTTTAGGGTTTTTTTCCCCCTACTCCAATTGTCTTATATACCTTCTGGGGATACCTCTACCCTGGGAAGTCTTACAAGTGCTGCTTCTCTCCCTGCATTCCTGATGGTCTCTAGGTATAGTAGATGATCTGTGTTTGTTGGGGAAATAAATGCCTTGTCCTGTTACAAATAATAGAGGTGTGTTACTTTGTGTTGTCATCTTCCTGTCTGCTTTCTTCTAGAATTTATTTTCCCATACCCACATGCTTCCAAGCTCCAAACTTGAAGTTTATAACAAATGTTTCTTAGAAGATGGTGCTCCCAATTATCCATAATGTAGAACCAGGAATCATAAGAGAATATAATTTTGGAGCTGTAAGGGGACTTGGGAGGTTGATGAGTCCAAATCACTTATGAAAATCAAACCAAATAAAAAGGAACTATGGTAAAAGCATAGAATGGAATATGACTCTTAACAATAAAAAGGGAATTTTTTTTAAGATTGTATTTATTTGAAAAAGATGAGGGGGAGAGAGGGATAAGCACACTCCACACTGAGCATGGAGCCCGACGCGGGGCTCGATCTCACGATGGAAGATCATGACCTGAGTTGAAACCAAGAGTCAGAAGCTTAAGTGAGGGCGCCACCCAGGTGCCCCAGGGAATGAGTTTTTGATCAAATGCAACAACATGGATGTATCTTGGAATAATTTTTGCTGTGTGACAGAAGCCAGACAAAAAGCACTGCATACTGTATGATTTCGTTTATAAAAAAGCGGAAAATGCAAGCAACAGTGACAGCCGGGGCTGCCTGTGGATGAGTGGGAAAGGAGTGAGGAGGGGACGGAAGGCAATACGAAGAAGGCTGAGAGGAAATTTGTGGGTGTGACAGTCTTGATCCTGGTGATGTTTTCACAGGTGGATACAAATAGTGCACTTTACACAGATTTGGTTTACAACGTCACTTACACATCAGTAAAGCCACTTACAGAAATAAAGGAAATCAGAGGCAATTCACCTGTGGAGTAAATATTTAGTAAATGCCTGCAGTATGCCAGATTCCTGTGCTCTGTGCTAGGGGTTCAGAGAGAGTGAAGGCTTGGCCTACACTTTCAGGAAGCTCACAATCTAGTGAGGAAGTTAGAAAATAAACATATAAATTAGATCCAGTATGTTAAGTGCTATGAAAGAGGAACAGACGGGGAACAGGAGGAGTCCCGAACATGGGTGCCAATGGGTGCCTCTTCCGGGGGAGGGCAGGGAAAGCCTTACGAAAGAGAGGAAGCTGAGCCAAAGCGGGCTTAGCATTGGTCAGGTGGAAGAGCGCCCCCCTTCTGAGGGAACATTGTGGCCAGATGGGTGAAATGCAAGTTCCAGGAACTGTGTGTGGTTCAGCCTGACTAGAGCAAAGGACACTCTAGCGAGAGAAGAGACTGCAGAGGTTGGTGGGGCCAGACGGTGAGGCTTTGCTTCCCTGCCAGTGCTTGGATGTCTTGTTCTCCAGGGTTGAACTAACAGGTGGTCTCAATCCATAGTCTGTGTCACAGGGACACCGTCTCTTCCAAACACCTAGCATAGACCTCCAGGTTTTTAGGCCTGCTTCATGCTAGCTTGGGAGTTCTTCTGTTCCCCAGGAATGTTTCAAAACCCAAAGGAAAGAGCTGGTTTAGGTCTGAGCGACAGCTGGGGGAACATCTGCTTGCTTTTTGGAGCTACACCTGGGAGCACAGCCTCTGGTGCATTTGCATGTCGGAGGCAACCAACAATCCAGCTGCCCCAAAGGCAGTTTTTCCACAGGCCAGAAATGTTGCCTTTGGTTCTGGCGGGTGGCACTGATCCCTAAAGTCCTGTATTTCTGACAGTGGCTGTCTGGTGTGCAGTGATCTGTGTCCTGTCTGGTTCTCTCCTACCCTCTGGTTCTCTTTTAACCAGTCACCCCTGGATTTCTCCAGCACAGAGTAATAGAGGTCATGGGAGAGTCCCTTATTTGTTTGTTTGTTTTTAGAGTGGTTTTCTGAGAAGACTAGGAGGTTGGATTCAGAGTACGATTGTCAGACCACATTAAAAATGCAGGCAAGCGGTGCAGAACACGGATGGCTCATGTCAGCCAGACATTTCAGTGTAACCAGAGGAGAGAAACATGGTGAGGGCCTGTGTTAATGGAAGTAGATGCCAGACTGCATGGTAAGGTCTGGCTCATGTTTCTCCTATTCCCTGCCACCCTTCAGCCGGAAGAGAGCAGCTCATATTTAAGTTAGAATTTAAAATGGGATTGCTGCTTAATGAGCATTCCTGTGATCTAGAGATCAAGTTGCTTACACCTCGAAAGGAGAGCTCCCATGCTCCCAGTTGGGAAGATTTTTACTCTTAGGGCAGTTAGTATTTCCAGCAGGTGAGAAGTACAGGTTTGGTGGTGTATTCCTTCTTGCCTTGGGTATTCTTTGCCATCTTCTCAGGGTTGGACCAAGAGGACAAGCAAAAGTGCTTGCACTGATTTCCCTAACCAACGGGAAGAGAGCTGTGGCCAGCACAGATCCCTGGAATCAAGTGGGTCCAGCAAAGGCCAGTGTCAGTGATCTGGGTGGATTAATAAAACTGATGGTGTCAGGAGGGAATACGTGTCCAGTGGTAATTGTGGAGTTTGGTTTTTCTATCTTCTCACCTGGGCTGGTGAAAACAATCCAAGTGTGGGCTGGCCCAAGTTCTGTAGCTCTGTTTATTGTCTCCTCTTGTCCTCCCCCTTGCTAGCTGCCAGCTCGGCTATTAAATGGCTCAGAGCCCTTTTTTTTTTTTTTTTTTTTTTTGCTGTGTCGATCCTAGAAGGTCATGACTGTTGTGATTTGGGGCTGGTTTCCCAAATGGGTGGGTGAAATGGATCTCTAACTATCGATTTGTTTTCTTGCATTTCAGTCGTTCCAAGGAAGTCAAGGACGAGCATACCTCTTTAACTCAGTGTGAGTGTCTCTGGTACATCCATGTTTTGGTGCACATTTTGTCGGGTGGTAGGAGAAGGAGCGCTCGGTGATAATTAAACAATGGTCCCTGCCCCCCTCCGCCATGATGAAACATTACTACGAAACATTACTGTCCACAGTAGGTAGCCATTTATCTTTGGGGAATTTTGCGGGGGGTGGGGGCAGCATCTTTGGCTAAAAATAACACACTTAAACTACCCACAGTAGGCACATCAGAGGGCTGTAGGCTCATAGGGAAGAAGTTGAAGGGCCTCCGGAGAGCCTCATCATGGAGGCTTCAGAACCAGGTCTAAGATGAGTCATCCGGGAAGAGAGGAGGTCGAACAGAAGACACGGAGATCCGCTGCGGGAGCTGGGACTGGAGGAAAAGGCCTGAAGAGCCTCCCCACTGCAGTCTCGGCCTGGAGGGCTCTTGGTCGCTGCGGGGCAGGTCATTCATAGTCTCTTACCTGGGAAAGGAAGGTGAAGCTGACACAAGTGTGGCGAACCGGGGGAACGGCAGTCTCGCATGTTCAGCTGGAGATAATACGGGGCTCGTTCGTGTCCTTGCAGTCAGGGACAAGACCATGCACATGTCCCATGCGACATCTGCGGCTGTGTTCAGTCATCAGTGAGCTCGGAGCTGAGGACCCGTGCTCCTGGCTTTGGTCTTCACAGTGTGGCCATCACGTAGTCCCCGTAGGTCACAAGGTTAGAAGGATTAGTTAGAAACATTCCAAGCAAAGTCTCAACCATAAAGACTTTTTTTTTTTTTTTTTTTTGTAGACTCACTGAATCAGAACTTGCAGATCCCAAATGCATTTCAATGGGCATGTTTCCACGTGGCTACATTTTAGGGGCTGTTACCACGTTTGGTCATAAACAACGCCCTTCTCAGCGTTGGCGTCCCTTGAGGCATACGTGCCCAGTTATGTTCTCGCCGCAAGCTCAGCTTGAACGACCAAGGCTTAGTGTGTGACTAACTACGCGTTCTCTCTCTCTCCGTCCCTTGGCACAGAGTTAATGTGGGCTGCGGGCCCGCAGAAGAGCGAGTGTTGCTAACAGGACTCCACGCAGTCGCAGACATTTACTGTGAAAACTGCAAAACCACTCTGGGCTGGAAATATGTGAGTACTGAGAAGTCTGGTCCGGTGGTGAGAGGGCTGTGAAGGGAGTAGCTGAGAACCTCGTGCTGGAAGATTGCTTTCTTCTCCTGGCTTCTTGTGGCCTTGTGGGGTTATCTTAGTCCAGGAACAGGCAGCTGAACCCAAAGAGCAGCTCCTGGCACTCTCCTGTCTGTCACACGCATTCTTCCCTTTCCTCTGACAGTCCTGTTCTCTTACTCATTCCTTCGCACCTGCCCCTGAGATGGACAGATACACACACACATCTCCTTTACAATTTAATTAATAGTGATAAGAAGAACAACAGCACATAACATTTCCCTTACTGTGGGAACTTACGTGTTCCAGGCCTGTATTATTTTATGTACTCTTCACAGCATTCTTAGAAGGTAGGTCATATTTTAACCCCTATTTTATGGATGAGGAAACGAAGGCATAGGGAGGTGAATAGTCTATCTGATGTTCTCTAGCCATGACATGGCCAAACTGGGATATAGGTATCTGGGAGTGTCACTACAGAGCCCATCCAGTAAATGTCCCCCAAACATCGCTCAGGTCCTAGGCCCTGTGCTAGCATCATCAAACATATTAATTAATGTCCACTGTTAGATATAGTCATGGCTGGGATCTCCCTACTGGACATTTGCTCCTTCACTGTTTAACTCAACAAGTATTATTAATGTCTTCATGACACCTAGAGTGAGCAGTCCTTCGTCAGGGTGAGAGGAGGTATGGGTGATCGGTGAACATAAACTTCTGTAGTTACTGCTGGTAGATACGTTAATTACTGGCAGATATCCTCACGTGCTTTCTTCTGCCCAGTCATGGTAGGATATTGAGTCTTCCCGTCTCTGGGAGGACAGTTTAATCCATGTAAATGCTGTAAATTCCCTGTCCCATCAGTTGCCCAGGGCCAGTGTGGGGCTGGCTCAGATGATCTGTGGTTAGGTAGCTTTTAGTTAGCTTGGGAAGAGCCTGGAGGAGTTGTCAGAACTGCCCACAGAGTGATAATGATGTGTCAGTGTAGGTTTGTTGATTATGACAAAGACGCTGCTCTGCGGGACTCCGGGAATGGGGGAGGCCGCCCATTATGTGGGAGCAGGGAGTGCAGGGGAAACCTCCTTGCCTTCTGCTCCCTTTTGCTGTGAACCTAAAACTGCTCTAAAAATATGAAGAAGTCTATTTAAATAAAAGAGATGTTGAGCAAAAGAAGCCCGACATACGAGTATGATTCCAGGGGCTCCTGGGTGGCTCGGTCGTTAAGCGTCTGCCTTTGGCTCAGGTGACGATCCCAGGGTCCTGGGATCCAGTCCTTCCTCAGCAGGAAAACTGCTTCTCCCTGTCACATTCCCCCTGCTTGTGCTCTCTCGCTCCCTGTCCATCTCTGTCAAAAACAAAAACATGATTCCATTTAACCAAAGTTTAAAAATATGCAAATCTTCACTACCACAGGGAGAGTCCGCCATGGAGTAGCACTGCCTTTACATCCTGTCTTTCACGTCTCCCTTGAAATGTTCAGAATTAGAAAGAAACCCTGGATGGCATGTTTCGCAATGCCGAGATGGTCACAGATCCCTAAGGTTGCCCTGATTGCTTCTTGTGGGAAACCTGGCCTTGGCTCTTCTCCCCTGGATGGCCGGTGGCCCCCTCTGGGTGATCTGGGGGCCACGGTTCTGGTTGTGATTATTCAGAAATGTTCTCCCCTTCTGTTTCTCCAACCTCTTGGTCATCTTAATCCATTGAAGATGTACAGGATTACAGACAGAAGATAAATCTGAGTTGGTTGGTTTTGCTCCTTCAGGTAAAATGATTCAGTCCTTTGACAAAGGTTTATTAAAAGACTTCGTGTTGGATACAAAAGTAAATGCGATCTAACACCTGCCCTTGAAGTTGTTTATAGCCATGATATCAAGGAGGAAAACTAGAGGTAAACAGGTAAAACAGCTTGACCAGCATAGTGATACGCACGGGACAGTGGGAAAACCTCCTTCTCCCCAAATATTTATTGATTACCTCTCACGTCCCAGGCCCATGCTCCAGTCTTTCATTCCATTATTTCTTCTGACCCTCACAGAAATCCTGTGAAGTACTTTTAATAATTCTCCCAGTTTTGTAAATGAAAAGTTTGCATTGGTAAACTTAAGTTGTTAAGTGATGCTTCTGGGGCCAGGGTTCAGTCTGGGATGTTCTGCAGACTCCACATCTAGTGTTCTGTCCAGGTAGGACATTTTGCAAGTGTCCTGTGGCTTGGGGGCTGTTGAATTTTTTTCCTTTTGGCTTTTTTGTTGTTGTCTTGTTTAATAGGGGTATATTCTTACTTTCCTAGTTTTCTTTTTACCTCCCCCCTATCCTGAACACACTACCATGGAACAATAGGTCTTATTCTTGAACCACATTCCTTTGTTGTGTATACACATACACAGACACACACACACACACACACACACACACACACACACACATACACACACGAAACTGAGGAATAATGAAGTGTCAGGGAAATGATTGCTGAGTCCACAGCTCTTGTGTGTGTTTGATGTGTTTGCATATTTTCTCTTCGCGCCCCTCCCCTCTCCACTTTGTGGAATGATTCCTCTCTCAGCGAGAGGCTCAAGTGTGAGCCCTTGTTCAGAGTCCCAGATCCCCAGAGCTCTAGGAAGTGAAGATGCATTTCATACAAATGTTGTCCAGAACCTACGGGAGGCAGGAGGGTTGGATCCCTTTCTGAGCTGGAAGGCTAGGAAACAAAGCTGATGTCCACTGCTTCTGCACGTCGAGCTCAGCCATCTAATGACTGTGATGACCAATGCTTTTCATACGATATACCAACATGTTTTTATACATCTATGCCTAGGAATAAAATACCCTTTGAGCCTCTACCTGTGCAGGGCTTTTTTTGTTGTTGTTTAATATCCCCCTGTGTGGCTTACTAGCCTGCAAGCCCACCCACAGTGTTGTAAATTCAGGATGGTTATCTGCCAGGTGGTTTCTGTTGCATTTTTCTCTCTGGAGGCCTGGCAGCTGGTGAGGCTTGAGGGCTGCCAGGTTCTTCAGGCTGGAGTCCGTGGAGCTCCTTACTCCCTGGAGAAAGGCAGTGAAGGAAAAACAGACTTAACACACTTGACATAGAAACAGCAAGATAAACAAGAGAAAGACCTATTTGGCTCCCCAATACTTAGTACTCTCCCTGAGTGTCTTTTCTCTAAGTGGAACAAAGTGCAGTTGAGGGTTCTGCCATAGAAACTTGATGGATACATCCATAGAGCCCATTCCTGGTCAGCATCCCAAACCAAGTTCCCTCAGACTTTGTGCGCACAGCGCGCGCGCGCGCGCACACACACACACACACACACACACAGCAGTTTCTTATTGAAGACCTATTATCTGGCAAGCAGTCTTCTAGGCACGAGGGATACAGCAATGAACAACGTAAATGAAGACCTCTGCCTGCCATGAAATTTGTGTCACTGTGGTGAGAGACAGTAGCTACAGTAGATGATGTGCAGGTTGTACTGTGGGTTTGAAAATGATAAGTGTTGTGAAGAAGGATGAAGCAGGAAAGGGAGGGGGGAGAGAGAATTCAGGGGTAGAAGTTGTGCTTTTAAAGTAGAATAGATGGGGAAGACCTTGCCAAGGTGGTGACATTTGGGCAAAGCCTTAAATGATGAGAGATCCTGAAGAAATTCCATGGTAAATATTGAGAAAAGTGTTTCAGATACTTAAATTGCAAAATATTGAAACTTGGTTGTAAATATTGAGAGAGGCCCAGTGCTGCCTCAGAGCTGGAGCTCAGGGGCATGTTCGAGTGGCAAGAATGCTTTCATTCCGGGTGAGGCTGGTCCTGATCGCACCCGTGCTACAAGTCACCTACTTGTCTTTGGTCATTCGGTGTCTTTTCCTTTGTGTCTCCTAGGAACATGCCTTTGAAAGCAGCCAGAAGTATAAAGAAGGCAAATACATCATTGAGCTAGCACACATGATCAAGGACAATGGCTGGGACTGATCGGAGGGTATCCACCTAACCCAGTGTCCACGTGAACGCCATCCAACCGAACATTCTACCCAAGCGTGAGAGAGTGACTGAACACTTGGTTCCATCCATTTAGGGGCCTTGCCATCTGGGGCATTCTCCCACCCTGACACCGTCTTTCTGGTGACCGGCCTCTAAATCTTTGTCTCTCTGTCTCTTTGCTTTGTATCTGTTTGTGAGTTGATCCTGGCTTCTCTCTCTCTGTTCTAGTGTTGGCTGAAAACAAAACAACAAAAGGAACAGATATCTGACCGCATGGCGGCAGCCCACCTTGATCAGGGCCCTAGGGCCCATAGAAGAGCTGCCTGATGGCCTCTTGTCAGGAGAGCAGTGGCACAGCACGGGGGTGTGAGGAAGAGGGGAAGGAGAGAGCCTTGAGGGTCCCAGGGGTGGGCAGGGGATGGGCCGTTAGAGGTAGGAACAAAATAGTGCTGCTCCCGGAGTCCTGGTAACTTAGGCTTGAAATAATCTACTTGTCTAAAAGGACAAAGAGAAAAAAAAAAAAATACCTCATGACTGCATTCTCTCTGATCAGAAGCTTCTGTTCCTGACACCGACAGTGCCGGGTTAGCATGTGAGCCCAGGAACTGGCCCTAACTCCAGGGGGGTCAGGGGCCTGGTTCTCCTGGGTTGAGTTGGGGGTGTCATGGAAGCAGAGGGTAAAAAGCCCAGGTGGTTTTGATAACTCCGATGCCTCACTGCCCCTTCGGGTCATCTTTGCCTCTTCAGTCACCGTAGGTGAGAAGAGGGGGACTGCCATCTGCAATGGGTGCAAGATCGAAACATCCCAAAGGCTTTGGCCACCAACCAAGTAAAATCAGTAATTTAGGAGGACAGGGAACAAAGGGGGCGGTAGTTTGGGAGCTCCTTCAGAAATGGCTCAGATACTGCTCCAGAAACAATAAAAAGTAGAACCAGTTAGCAATTCTGACTATTTAACCTTTTTTCCTGACCCTTAGTAAGAGAAGAGCCTTGTGGCAAGGAGGGGGGTGGGGTGGGGCAATGCTGGGAATAGTTTAGATTTGAACCATGACAGGTTAGTGCATCTTTCCCCTTTGGTATGCAGTGGCTTCGGTGAGATCAGCAATTCTTTGTACATAGAGTTTTGGGTGTTTTCTCCAGTTCTATCCCTGTAGACTTGTGGAAAACAAAGTCCCAAGGCTTTGAGCTGAGTGATAACCTAGCCAGGAGGTTCCTTATGCCCCTGGAGCTGTTCTCGGACTTGACTGCTTTGTGTGGAGAGAAATTGTCAGAGTGGTCCATTAGTGGGAAGGGCCTGGGTGTGATAGCCAACATCAAGTTACAAATTCCAATATTAGCCTCTGCCTCCCATCTCGCAGCCCAAACCAAAGTTCTTTATATTAAGGAAATGGAGAACAAGTCCTTACTAAGTCTCCTGAGAGAAAGGAGTTTGTCACAGTTAACCAACACTGTGCGGTGCATTCTACAAACAGCTAAGCCAGTAGTAGTACACTGTGCACGACCGAAACTCATTTAACCGAGTTAATTTTATTGCTTAGACCGAAAATGTAATTAATGTTAAGATATGTGCAGGTTATGTTAGGTAATTCTCAGCATTTCATTCTCTAAGTAGGCTGATCCTATAGGAACATTCACCTTAAAAGTCACAGAAGAGTGAATTCGTAGAGACAAGAATCTGTAAAATTGATTCATCAGGATTCAAGCAGGCAGCGAGGGACATTTCCAGAATTCTGACAAATTCCTATAGGGAGTGAGTCCATGGTGGAAATGCCTTTTCATGTCTCTGTGGTCTGATTGCAGAAAGGGGACGGGAGCTAGAAGCTTGGCGTGGTCCTGCCCTGGAGGGTGACTGAAGCAGGATTGACAGGAAGCTGGGTGGCTCCAGGCTTAGCAGTAGAGGGCTTCTGTGACACAAAGGGATTCTTAGAAATTGAATCTTGTTCCCAGAGGCTTTTAACCCACATTTTTTGGTACTTCAGCAACCCTGGGAGATTAAGTGCTCCCCACATTACTAAAAAGCAGACTGAGGTTCAGAAGAAGTATTTCATTTCCACTCCCAAAGAAAGAGTTCTTCTGGCTCCCAGGGCCAAGATCTCAATGAAAAAATTTTCGACTTTCACATTCCTAAGCTGGCTCGCCAGCACAAAAACCATAGATCCCCCCCGCCCTTTCTGTTTGTGCTGAAGGTAGTGGCTTTCACTTAGAGATTTTGATTAGCCCCTTTGCTCAGGGAATGTCCTGGCTGTTGATACTCCTTTCCATAGAAAGAAAATGGGGGTTAAGCATGGGTAGAGGTTTTGTCTTTGATACTGAAAATGGAATGTGGTGACATAGAAACCAGACACGGGGTGTCCTAGAATTTTCAAGGGGCAGAGGAGACCGATGTGCCACTGTTCTTCCTTGGGGATGAGGCCTCTGACTGTTGCATGGATCAGAGCAGGCTCCAGTTAGACCCAGGTTCTGGTTTTGGTTTTGGTTTTGGTTTTCCAGTTCTTACCCATCAAGCATCCAGTGGGTGTGTGGCACCATACTTGGTGCGAAAGATCTGAGTAGAATGTTGGTTTTTCCATAACTACAGGGGGAAAAAAACAACTCATTAGGCTTTCCCTTTGTGTCAATGAAACCAAAAGTGCTTCTTATAACTTCAGCTCCACTCGTGGCTTGTCTACCTAACGTCAAGCAGTATTGGAGAGACCGCAGCTGAGTGATGGAGACACATCAACTCATGGCCTCAGTCAGTTCGTTCTTTAATTTCCTCACCAAATTATTGACTCAGAGCATAACCAAAGACCTCATCCATTCACCCCTGGCAGGTTCAGGGAATTGGAGTTTGACGGTAAAGCCTCGGCAGGGTGCAGGGAGTAGGGCAGGGGAAAGGGCGAAGTGAGAAAGGGAAAGGCATGACGTTCTATACCTCAGCCAGCAGCTGCCTTCTTTGCAACTGAAGTCCAGCTGGCCGACCCTCTAGGTCCATCTCCCCTGTGCTGTCCTAGGTCGTGTGGCCTCGGTGGCCCTGGATACACCGAGACCCCGGGATTTTAGTCTCAGGCTGTGATGGATTGATTTGACATAAATCAAATACAGCCAGACTTGATGGCCCCAGATTGTCAGCTGGGCCTGACTGAGTGCTGCCCCAACTCCGAGACAGCAAGATCATGGAGATGGGATAAATCTTGGCAGGTGGGTCAGTGTGTGAAAAAGAGGTGTCCCCCTTAGAAAAAGATTTTCAAGTGGATATATATATGAAAAAAAAAGTTGCTTGTGAAATATACTTTTGTAAATAATATTTAATTTTTTAAAATAATATATTTGGTGCTGTTTTCTCAGATCCCCTGAGAGCACTTTTTATTTTCATTTTTAAATTCTATGGTTTCCTCTGCATTTCTTGAAGTATATATTAAGGGAAACAAGTGATCACCAATATACTCTTTTTAAAAAAAAAGATCTGTATCACTTTTGTCTGGACAGAGGCAATAAAGCAATGCCTCTCTGCTCCACCACCCCCCGAACCACCCATGGAGCAGACTCTGCAGTTTCATTACCAGGTTGAGAATTGAAATAGTTTCTTGCACCAATATTGGCTAAGAAAAAAAATAAATAAAATCAGATATAGTTACAGCTTAGTGATTCCTCTTTTTGGAAGAATTTCCAACAAATCGGGATCTTGTTTTTAATGTGTGTGTGCGTGTGTGTGTGTGTGTAAAAAGCACTTTGGACTGTGCCTCCTGTTTTCTTTCTTATTGGGGACAGTATACCTACAGTTTACACCTTGGGCACATAAGGCTTTTTCTTCTCTTTCTTGCTGGTTGTTTTGTTTCTGAGTGGACCAACAGCACAAACCATGAGGATTTTGATTTTCTGAGCATGGAGCTATTGCCACTTTGCTCCTTTTTCTTTGTGTGCTCAACTTTCCCAGATGGTAAAGGAAATCTATTGTTTGTGAAGGTCAAACGGAATCAAATCTGTGTGTTTCTAACTGACATGTGCGTGTGTTCCTTACATACCCTAGGGTTCCGGTTGTTGTAGAAGCCATGTCTGGTTTGGGTTGAAAGAACATCGGTAAAATAATACACATACCTTGTAAGTAAACAGTTTATTTTATTTTAAGGCCATACTGCCTCAGGTTCAGGAAGAGGCTGGGAAATCAAATCTTGAACACAATCAACTTAACATATTTTAACAGAGGTCTGCCTTGCATGAGGAAACATGCTAGTGGTCAAGGTAGAGGAGAGAGATGTTTCATTTTCCTAAGCAAAATACAGTCATGAAATCTGCCAGCAGTGAAAGATAAAGCCAAGAAGAAACAAACTATTCCCATCACCAAATTCAATCTGCCTGTATGTTTTTATATAACATTTTGGTGAAAGTGAGAGTCGCTTCCCTTTTCAACCTGCAGAGACGATCTTTAAATACGGAATCTGTCTATTTATGCTTGTGTTTACAAATTGTATTTGTTGGGTTTGGGTTTTTTTTTTTCCCCTCTCCCCCCCCCCCCCCACCCCGTGGCGTTTTTCAGGTCACTTTGCTTCAATAACAAAGATAATTATTTTCAAATAATTTGTCTTCACCTTTTCCTGTATTTGTACATAGTGGTTCAGTATTAGAGAAAAGTGCATTGTTTCTGTCATATTTCCAATCTGTGTTGGTGCTCATTTGAGAAAATAAAGTTTTCAAATATTCTTTGGAGGGCTGTACTGTCGTAATTGACCCAAATTGACCCAGCATATTTTATCGTGACTTTTAACATTGAAAGTAACTGAAAAGCCTGTAGGAGGTCATCTGTCTAACCCCATTTACACAGCTCTGACTGACAGACCCTGCGGGGTTGTTTACTGCAAGGACAGTTGGCCAATTAATGAATAAAAATCAGGTCTCCTGCTTATCTGCAAATGCTTCTCTTATCTTCAGATATCAGAAATGCCTGAGTGACCTTTAGGATTTCTGTCTACTAAGCCCAGTATTCTCAAACTCTGCAAACTTTTCTGTTTATACCATTTTCTTTGGAGGAAATTGGATTGCATTAAGTGAAGAGATAAAAGAATTGTAAAACCACAAAATGAGGTGACAAAGAGGCAGCACTATCTCTGAATAATGGGCTGACAATGGGAAAGAAGTAGGCACAGTTATAGAATATGGAAAATCAAGTCTTCTCACTGAGCAGATATTTATTAAACATCTATTAGGTTCTATAGGCACTGGGTGAGGCAGTTGGACCATTCTAGTAAATCGTCTGTTTTTCTTTTCAACTCCAGTATCTTCCATATGCATAGCCAGGCAGCGTCCTCAGTTGTGTATTGTGGTGCCTTCATTTAACAGACTAAATATTTTTGCCTAGACTTCAGCTTTTTCGAAAGCTAGTCTCCACAGCTTACAGTGTTCTCACCTTATATAGGCAATTTAAATAGTAAAGAAAGAGGATATTATAACAGCCCAAATGTGTGTGTGTGTATTTGTGTGTTTTCACATTGGTGAGAGTATTTTAAAAGCCTGTTCTCTATAAAATAAGAAATACCTTGTGTTCCCATGAATTTTCACCTTCCCAGTCTGGGCCTAGCTGCAGTTGACTTTTATTTGTCCTTGAGGGATTTATCTTATTCCCGTGACCTGTTTTGCTTCAGTGGATGTGTCTGTTATCATTTCGTTCTTGTTTGCCTTTGGCGGACCAGGAGGAGAGAAAAGATAACATGTGTGGGAGACAACCAGTTCCAAACCAGCAATCTTTGGGTCCTCTCCCTTCCAAGCTCTTACACCGCAGTGGCTGTCCAGGACATCAGGCCTGACCCTGGGTTGGGTGCTTTGCCTATGTGACCTCACTTAAGATCATGGCTGGGAGGCAGTTCCTCCCATCATCCCAGGAGTCCTCACCACCGTATGGGAAAGCAGTGATAAATGCCGATTATTCCCATTTTATAGATGATGCAACTGAGGTCAGGAAGGTTTCTTGGGAATGACAGGGTCAGGAATCACACATAGCCTGGCTTCACCACTCTATGTTCTTACCCTGCACTGTGTTCCAGATGTCAGCCTCTCTCTTCCTCCAGCCTTCTTAATTCTTGTGTGACTTCACAGGACAGTTTCTCAGTCTGCCCATCGTGACTGCTTAGTATGTGAGGGGTCAGGGAATGTGAGTGAGCAAATTAATGTTAAGCAGAGCCACAAAGGTTACTGCTACCTGAAAAGTATTGTGTGTCCCATAGCTGAACTTAAGCTGGGCTTTGTTGTTTTTAATACTCTGCGGTAGATCCCATGTGTAATCCTTGGCCCCTTGATTAATAGTAGGTACTTAACAGCTGCTTGGTGAACACTGAATTAATGTGGATTCAAAATCTGTTTAGTTTGTTGGTATCCCAAAGAGGAGAAGAGAGGAGGTTAGCACTGAATGTTTCCTGCCTAAGGTAAATGGTTACATCAGGAACACTCCGTTTACTATTTGCATTTATTTATTCAGCAAGGACTTTTTTTTTGGACATCTATTATGTGCCTACTCTAGTCAGGAAGCTAATCCCAGGGAGCAGAGTATCAGTGGTACCAACTGTACCCAGTGGGAAAACAAAGGGTTATGTGTGGCCCTCCCTAGCTGGGGAAATCTCCAGCCACATCAGCCACCACCCTCACCAGCAGCTGTTTCCTGTAGAGGCAAGTGCACATAAATCCTTTCATCTGAACCTAGAGCAGGGCACAGGGCAACCTCTGGAGTTAGTGCGCCTGATTTCAAATACTGGTTTCACTTAGTAAAAAGGTCATCTATGGAAAGAGCTCAGCCCAGTGCCTGGCACATAGCAAGGAATCAGTAATACAATGGTTGCTATGAT